TGAGTCGTAGCCACTCCGCTGCAGCTGTTATTCCTCTCGGAGATGTGGAGTACCTGCAGTGTACCCAGGGAGATACAGCACTGTAAGTGCCCTGCCAGTGTGGACAGGGAGTGAGTTACAGCGCTGGGGGAGGCTTTACAGCGCTGTAACTTGCAAGTGTAGCCAAGGCCAAAGTGAGTATTGTGTATGTGATCTGAACCAAATGGCACAGCTGCTGTGCTGCAAAGAGCTGGTGATAATATGACAGGTCTGGGCTACAATAACCCAAAGAAGGGTGGGAATGAGAGTAATTTCAATGGAGGCTCTGCTGTATACCCTGACGCTGGTCACTGGAGGCATTAAGGACATAATTCTAATTTTAGTTTTGTGAATTTTACACTTGCAGATCTCCTTTAAGGAAAAAAAATCTGCTTTTGAACTGAAAACAAAACAAAAATCTAGCACCGTTTCAAGTTTGCAACATAAAAACAAAGGTTTATTTTACAGTGGTAAATTTGCAGGGGATTCATAATTAGAACCAGTCAATTCCACTGTTTGGAGGGGTGAGAAGTAGTACCAGGCTACAGTGTTTTTAGGAAATGGTTACTCCTGCCATTGAAGTGTCTTAATTTAAAACTATATGAGCTCTTTTTTTGTATCTTTCCTATTTCTGTTGACCCAGAAACCATAATCTGTTCCTACTATGGACATCAACAAGTTCTCTAAATAGGTTTTTTTTTACATGTTCAGTGAGACTGTCTAATTTTATCATAGCATGACAGACACTAATTGCTCCACAGTTTTGCTTTAACGTGTAATTAGACTGTCTTTCAAAGCTGATACTTACATTTATCACAACCCAAAAATAGTGCACTGCTTTAGTTATTGCTATTTAAAAAGTGTAATTCCAATATACACTGGTTTTAACATGGGCTGATTTTTTTTTTAAAGACTTAACTGAGTTTATTTCCTTTGCATGTTTAAATTGCAATCTTCATTTTTGTTAAATGTATTTTTACTTATCTGGGGCATAGATTTTGAATTTCAATTTAGACACTGTAAACATGTAGCATTACAAGAAAATTAGAGACAAACTGACATACTAATTCTGTTGCAAAAATTCAGATTAAAAGTATGGAAACTAATCTGAAGTGATTAGACAACATTTAAAATAAATTTGAGATAGTGGTAGTACAGTTTATTGAACAGGTTAGTAATAAAGCTTGAAAAGATGTTACACCTTTTTATTTTCTCTTACAGGACTTTTTACCTTAATCTTAGCTGCAGTGTTTCCAAGTAACAGTGGAGATCGGTTTACCCTTTCCAAACTGTTAGCTGTCGTTTTAAGGTAGGAATATGAACTCTTAATCTCCAACACCCCTTCTCTGACTCTACCCCTAAACAAGCTGGTACTGTTTTAAGCTGTTTGAGATAGTTCAATTTATTTGGTGAAGAATGTTATTTCAAGAGTAGCAGATCTTGGCAAGTTTTTTAAAGAAAATAAAATGTCGAAGAGTGGCTGTTTAAAATTTCACTTCTTTTGACAACTGCTCTGACCAGGAATCTCCTCCCTCTAAATATAAACCTTTCTTTAATAGAATTCCCTATATGCTAGGTGCTGAAGACTAGACACTGCTGGAACCTTGTGGTGTTACTTGTCTGCTCTGGAATGACTTGTTTTGCTATATATTTTCACTTGAACCCATTTTTTGGGTCAGATGACTTTGGTGTGCAGCATTAGGGAGCTAATTTGAAGTTCACCTAATTTTGACTTTTTTAATGTTTGTGTCTGAAAGTTGTGTGCATGATACTTAACCCATCTAAATATTTAGAAATTACTTAGGAGAAATGATGCTGTGATATATGGGTAATCTGGATAGTTTCACAGTTTTGTTCCGCTATCATTCAAAACTCTCAGCTGTCAGATTTTACAGATCTGCTCTGAACTATTTTTTTTTTTTCTTCTCCACTCTGTGTCAGTGGAGTTTTGGCCAAGTATATAGTGTGTATACAAAAATGGTGATATGCTTCAGATTCTTTTGTTTTATTAGTCAGTTAAAGTGAATGTACTGCTCAACTGTAATGGGCAGGACATCTTTAAGCAATTATGTTTTAGTGGTCATTTAACCTAATTTAAGATATAACCATAGGATTTGGTTATAAAATTATTATATAATAAATGCGAACACATTTGTCTGATAGTTAATTTTAGATTTTGTTTTAATGCAGATGGAAAGCATTAGATGTTTAATGAAACTTAATATCATGTGGAAGCAGTAAAAGAAAGAGGGTTTAAGTGCAGCCATTTAAGTGTCAGAGACAGAGCAACTGTTCTGTCAAGTCTTAGCCTGATATCGCGAGACCTGTAGAAGCAGGGCTCACGTCAGAAGCGCATGGAAAACAGCAGAATAGTCAGTGTGACCTCGCCTTGAGATAATGATGTTTGTGAAGAGAAAGTGAGAAAATACTGGAATAGATAGTAAATACCCTAAATAAAATGCAGATGTTTTTAATTAATGCACATCATTTGTGACGTGTCAGCGTTGTTCTCAAAGGCCTGATCCATAGTTCAGGGAAGTCAGTGCAAAGAATCATATTGATTTAATTGAGCTCTGGAGTAGGCCTTAAAGCACAGGTTCACCAAAAGCTGGGTTCAATCTAATTACAGATATCTAAAAACTGGTGTCTTTATTTGTTGCTGTGCGTGTGTGAGACAGATTTAAAAAAAAAAAAAAAAACTGTGGTATGCCTAATAGTTGATGATGTTTTTTCCTAGCATTGGCGGTGTAGTACTTGTTAATTTCTCTGGGTCTGAGAAATCTCCAGGAAGAGGTACAATAGGTATATTAAATATTTTTTTAAATTTTATACTGTAAATTGTAATACCAAGATAAATGTAACAGTTTTTTTTTAAACTGCTCAAAACTACAGGGTGGGAGAAGGAAATGCAGTGTAAATCTGTCATGTATTAGACTCTGGAAGATTGACTGCTGAAAGTGGCTTGTTTTAAGGAATGTTTTTTTATTAAATACCCTTTCAATATATGCATGTAGAGGGTCATATCTTCATAAGTTTAATTCATTTTATATAGTAATGGATTCTATAATAAACTATTACAATTAGAAAATTGCCCAGTAGAGGGATTTAAGTATGATAGTCAGATTCATAACACTATGCCTAACCCATTTGTCTTAAAATAATATTTTTCAACTTTTACAGGTTCCCTATGGTCTCTCGTAGGAGCAATGCTGTATGCTGTCTATATAGTTATGATAAAAAGAAAAGTAGACCGAGAAGATAAGCTTGATATACCAATGTTCTTTGGTAAGAACAGCAATATTTTAATATAGCAATGACAATATTGAAAACAAAACTTTTGTTTATAGAATAACTGAGTCCCTTGCTCTTCAGTCCCCAATCTTATAAACACTTAAACATGCATGTAAAGTTAAGCATATATGTGTTTACAGGTTTAGGGCCTTAATCTTTGAGTATACTCAGTACTAGTCAGTTCTTAGGGCCTGAACCTGAGGAGTGTTGAGCAGCAGCTCTCACTGTAGTCAATGGGAATCTCAGGTGCTTGACACATCTCTGTGTAAGGCCATCAGTGATAAAGTGAGTATGCCTCTGTTGCTAATTCCTGTGATGTATTTTTATATTGAATAAAAACTGGATTGGTATGCTGAACATATCGTTGTAGTGCAGGTTTTGTAGTGAGCAGTTCAATATGGTCACTTCACTTTGCAATGCCATAATTTCTGAAGTCCAAATTGCAAACCAGAAGTCATATATGGTGCCATAGAGTCTTACTAACCTGCAAAAATGTAGTGTTCTGTCCCTGCCTCTGAGCAGACTTAATAGCAAAATGCTATTGTGAGTTTTCATATTAGTAAAATTTCAAATGTACTAGTATATCATGAAATATAAATAAAAACTAAATGATGAAATAAATGACCATAGTACATTTGTGTTCAGTTGCTTGCTAATTCACAGAAATCAGTAATTTGCAATGAGTCTCCCAGTCTTTGTGCTAATTAAGGAACTATCTGCAAAATTAGTAATCTGCAAAAATATCTACAAAAAGTGGAAACATGGATGAATTGCTAAGGAGGCGTACAAAAGAATGTTATAAGCATGTAGGGACAAAATTAGAAAAGGTAAGGCACAAAATGAGTTACACCTAGCAAAGGACATGTGGCAATAAGAGGAGGTTCTTTCAGTATGTTAGGCTCAAGAGAAAGATGGAGAGTGTAGGTCCACTACTTAGAGAGGAAGGAGAGCTAACTAATGCCATCAACAAGGCTGAAGTGTTTTATGCCTCTTTTGCTCAGTCTTCATTAAAATGGTTAATTGTGACCAGATACTCAATACAATCAATATTAACAACAAGGGGGAAGGAATGCAAGCCAAAATAGGGAAAGAACAGATTAAAGAATATTTAGATAAATTGGCAGGCCCTGATGAAATTTATGATAGGGTACTTAAGGATCTCTGTGAAATTACAGACCAGTCAGTCTAACTTTGATACCTGGAAAGATAGTAGAACAAATTATTAAACAATCAGTTTGTAAGCACCTAGAGCAAGGGTAGTCAAGACATTTGGACCTTGACAGAATATAGGCTACTCTTGACCTAGAGAATAAGAGGGTTATAAGGAATAGCCAGTATGAATATATCAAGAACAAATCATCCCAAGCCAACCTGATTTCCCTTTTTTGATAGTGTTACTGGCACAGTGGATAAGGGGAAGCAGTAGATGTGATATATCAGGATTTTTAGTAAAGCTTTTGAAATAATCCCACATGACTTTCTCATAAGCAAACAAGGGAAAAGCATTTTAGATGAAATTACTGTAAGGTGAGTACATTTAGTGGGGTTCCAGAGTCTGCTACTCTGCTACAGTTCTGAGTCTGCTACTGTTTAATATTTGCATTAATTACTTGGATAATGGAGTGAAAGTATGTTAATAAAATTTGTGGATGACATTAAACTGGGAGGGGTTGCAAGCACTTTCGAGGCCAGGCTTAGAATTCAAAACTACCTTGACAAATTGGAGAATTTGTATGAAATTCAATAAAGACAAGTGCGAAGTACTTCACTTTGGAAGGAAAACTCAAATGCACAACTATGAAAGAGGAATAGCTGGCTAAAAGGTGGTACTGCTGAAAGGGATCTAAAGTTTATAGTGAATCACAAATTGAATGAGTAAGCAATGTGTTGCATTTGTTAAAAAGACTTGTATCATTCTAGAGTGTATATATAGCAGTGTCATATGTAAGACATGGGAGGTAATTATATTATTGTGTTCAACACTCGCAAGACTTCAGTTGGAGCATTGTGTCCATTTCTGGGTGCCACACTTTTGGAAGTTGTGGATAAATTGGAGAGTCCAGAGGAGAGCAAAAAAGTTGACGAAAGCTTTAGAAAATGTGACCTATGAGGAAAGGTTTAAAAAATTGGTCATGTTTAGGCTTGAGAAAAGAAGATTGAGATGGGGGCCTGATAACGGTCTTCAAATATGTCAAGGACTATTATAAAGAGGACAGTGATCAATTGTTCTCCATGTCCACTGAAGATAGGACAAGAAGTAATGGGCTTAATCTGCAGCAAGGGAGATCTGGATAGGTAATAGAGAAAAACTTTCTATTTATATGGGTAGTTAAACTCTGAAGTAGACTTCCAAGGGAGGTGAAATCTCCATTAGAGGTTTTGGAGAACAGGTTGGACAAACACCTGTCTGGGATGGTCTAGGTTTAGTTGGTCCTGCTGTAGCACAGGGGGCTGGATTTGATGAGCTTTCTGTTTTTTTAAACTGTTTTATGCCTTGTTACTAGACCAGCTGTCATACTGTGACCCTGTGTTGGAATTGAAAAAAAGCTTCAGGAGTCCTTCTCAATAGTTATGGGACCATCTCCCATTTAGCCATTAAAAAATGATGGTGGTCGTGACACCCTAGATTCCCCAATCCCTGTTGCTAGTGTAAATTCTTTCTTGTTGGAATCTTTAAAATGGAAGATTGCTTTACTTGTGGAAAGCCAAATACGCATTCTGAACTTGGGAAACTACTAAAAGTATCGCATATTGTAAATATTTAAATATTGCTTACCATTTTCAGTTAAAGATTCCTGTATTCCTTTTCCCAGGAATAGGAATAACCTATTAAGATAGTTTTTCTGCAGCTCTTGCCAGACATTTGGACTGTAAGGGAAACCAAGTAAGGGGAGAAGGAGGTAAATAAATAATTATGATGAAACTGAAAGGAAACTAACATTAATTTGATTTTTATTTTCAGGTTTTGTAGGCCTCTTCAATCTGCTGCTGCTATGGCCAGGTTTCTTCCTACTTCATTATACTGGATTCGAGGCCTTTGAGTTTCCCAATAAATTGGTATTGATGTGCATTGTCATTAATGGCCTTATTGGAACAGTTCTGTCAGAATTCCTCTGGCTGTGGTATGTACTGTTTACTTCATGTAAGTTGTCCTCTGATACATTACTTAAAAACTGTGAGCTGCTGCGGTGTCAGAATGATTAGGCTGTGTTTTTGTTTTCCAGTGAACGGTAAAGGCAGTCTGACTTAGAGGAAGTCATCTGATACATCATAAAGTACGGTTTAAGAGCCGTTAGCCTGATAATTGTAAAGAGAGAATGGCTTGAGATTATAGAAAGAAACTAGTGTACATATTATTTAGAACTAAGAAGAATAAACCCAGTAGTTTACTAGTTTTATAATTGGCAAACAATATAAAAATGTTATGAGGAAAGATGAAGAAATTTTGAGGATCCTGTTGATACTGAAATTGTAGTGTTCTTGTGCTGATTTCTGCTGAAACAAGACACTTACGGAAAAAAAGGTGGGCATTAATCATCTTGGATTATCTGAGTTTACGTTATAACTATTCTTTAAATTCCAGGCTCTTGCAATATACTGGTAATGCAAGAATCATATCCAGTAAATTAAGTACTTTCATAGTTTAAAAGTTTAACTAAATTAGATCTTTGAAAACTGATTCTACTGGTATCTTATTAGCTTGCATTAATCACTAGGAGATGAATTGTGAATCAGCAAGTCAGTAAACAAAGGAAATCTAGGATAATGTGTAATGCGGACGGGTCAGTAACAGTAGGAATTGAACCTGAGACTTCTGGGTTTAAGACCATAGTCCTCTACAGCATGAGCAGAAGAACTAGGATCAGAGGTTCTTCTTTGAGTACTTGTTCATGTCCATTCCAATCAGGTGTGGTAGACCTCAGAGAGCTGAGAGTGGTATGCCTGGCATGCCAGACTTTCCGAGCCCACCTAACAGGTAGATGTGTATCAGTCATGACAGACAACACCACGGCGATGTTTTATATCAACAAATTAGGGGGCATGCTCCTCTCCCCTTTGCCAGGAAGCCCTCATGCTGTGGGATTCTGTGTAGAGCACTTGATACAGCTGCAAGCATCATACCTCCCTGGAGTACAGAACGAGTTGGCGGACCATCTTAGCAGGTCATTCCACGGCCACGAGTGGTTCCTTCGCCCAGACGTCGTGAACTCATTCTTCCATCAGTGGGGCTTTCCCCAGATAGACCTGTTCGCCACGCAATGCAACAGGAAGTGTCAGCAGTTTTGCCCTTCCTGAATCACAGCCCAGGCTCCATCACAGATGCATTCCTCCTCCTCTGGGGAGGCCATCTCCTATATGCGTTCCCGCCCGTCCCTCTTGTTCACAAGGTGCTCCTCGAGATACAGGGGGAAGAAGCTTCAGTGATATTGATAGCTCCAGCTTGGTCCCACCAGCACTGGTACACATCACTCCTGGAAATGTCCGTGGAAGCTCCAGTTACCTTGCTGCTCTTTCCGGACATACTAACTCAAGATCATGGCCGTCTCCAACATCCGAACCTCAAGTAAGTCCACCTCACAGCATGGAAGCACCATGGCTGAACCCAGTGGAGCTTTCTTGCTCTGATCAAGTCAGACAAGTTCTCCTTGGCAGCAGGAAACCCGCCACGAGAGCTACCTACCTTGCCAAGTGGAAGAAATTTTCAGTCTGGTCGGCGCAGCACCATTAGTCTCCGACGCTCGCCTTGATGATACTTATACTGGACTATCTTCTCCACCTCAAGCAGCAGGGACTGACTGTGTTGTCAATTAGGGTTCACTTGGCTGCCATCTCTGCCTTCCATCCACACGCAGAAGGATGCTCAGTCTTTGCCAACCCATTGGCCAGCCGTTTCCTTAAAGGTCTTGACAGGCTATATCCACAGGTCCGACAGCCTGTTCCAGCTTGGGACCTCAATTTGGTCTTATCCAGACCTTTGGAGCCGCCATTTGAGACTTTGGCAATGTGCTCCCTGCGCGCACGCTCTCTCTCATGTACAAGGTGGCATTTCTGGTAGCAATAACCTCAGCTAGGCGGGTGTCTGAGCTCAGAATCCTAACATCAAAGCCTCCTTACATGGTATTCCATAAGGACAAGGTTCAGCTCAGACCTCACCCGGCTTTTCTCCCAAAGGTTGTCTCCCAATTCCACATCAACCGGGACATCTTCCTCCTGGTGTTCTATCCTAAGCTGCACTTGAGTGGCAGGGAGCAAAGGCTTCACTCATTGGATGTCCGCAGAGCGCTAGCTTTCTACATCGAGAGAACTAAACCATTCCAAAAGTCTATCCAGTCATTCGTGTGTGCAGTATCCCTGAGTGCAGCAAGTTGCATAGGAGCCGGAGGGTGTACAGAATGAAAGGTCTTCCTGTCTTTTCTCAATGGATTTTGTTGTGGATCACATCCTGCATCCGTGAGTGCTACAACCTGGCAGGGGAGCCTGCTCCTTCGATCACTGCGCACTCCACCAGGGCTCAGGCCTCTTCAACGGCATTCCTGGCGCAGGTCCCTACCCAGGAAATGTGCAGAGCAGTGACATGGTCCTCCATATACACTTTCACCACGTGCTACACAATCACCCAGCAGGCCACAGACAATGCAGCCTTTGGAAGAGCAGTGTTCCAATGAGCGGACGACTCTGCTCCACCTCCTCAACTTGGGCTTGTGAGTCATCTGATTGGAATTGACATGAACAAGCACTTGAAGAAGAAGAAAGAACGGTTACTCACCTTCTTGTAACTGTTGTTCTTCGAGATGTGTTCATGTCTATTCCAATACCCATCCTCCTACCCCTCTGTCGGAGTAGCCGGCAAGAAGGAACTGAGGTCGGCAGGGCCCTATATTGGGAACCATGAAGTCGCAACTCCAGGGGGTGCCCAAGCCGACCCTACGGATGCTGCTAGGGGAAAAATCTTCCTGCTGTTGTGCACGCAGTGCGAACCCACCTGATTGGAATGGTCATGAACAACGCATCTCTAAGAACAGTTACGAGAAGGTGAATAACCGTTTTTTGTGTAAGGGTTCTGAATTGAGTGGCCTAGTCACTGGGGGGTGACTGAGCCACACTGCGAAGGTTACACATGCACCACAGAGTATAGGCTCTTAGTATTTTGATAAGTTTTATTTTAATTATTTGACAGGATATTTTGAAATATATTATCACCATCTTGCTAATAAGAGACATCTCTCTAGTGATGGTATTAAATCATTGCTGAAAAATGATGCAAGGTTGCTAAATTGGAAAAAAATAATAATTGCCAAAGTGCAGATTAGAAAAATATTCTTTTGTTTGAGCTGAAACCATTTAAATGTTGAGATCCCAGCTCCTACATTTAAGCTAGTGATTTTGTGGCATTGCAGTGAATGAGAAATCTCATTTTGTCCCCAAACTCTCTCTAAAATATTTCTAAATCCATTTGAGTTAACATCAAACGTCCTTTTACTCATGCAAATAGTCCCAACAAGACCAGTTTTTTGTTTTTGCTTGTTTAATTACACTTTTCTGTACGTACAACGGCATAAATGCATAAGCTGAAGAGCCAAGTGGCAGATTTTGAGTCTTAATTATTTGTTTCTTCACATTTGTAGGTTTGAATTAAACTTCGTACGACTTAATTTCTGTGTGGTTGAATTACTTCTGTATTTGGAATAACTTAAAGTTGGGTCATAGAAAGTACCTACCAGTTAAGTGTTGTGAACGGGAACTGGAAATTTAGATTTGTGCATTTAATTCTGGGGGAGTGGAGAGTGCTTTTTGCTGCTTTATGCTCTATAAACAAGGCCTAAAATTTGTTTGCTTCCCCTCACTCCCCCCGTCACCCCTCTCAAGTATTTTTTCTGCCCTTTTTTTTTTTTTAACTTTACAAATATCATGTCCAGTCTGTTGGTCTTTGTTTTGCTGGAAGTCGCTCTGAAAAGGACCCAGTGGCTTGGAATGGGGGTTCTCTCATTCCTTAATTGAAGAGCCATGTGCATTAAATCTTTACCCAAAAGACTTTTCCAACTGTTTGATCAAACTGTTTGAGTTTAATAGGTGTTAACAAAAATAAAACAATTTTGTGATGTGAATAAAAATCACATCCTCTTTCAATTAACTAGGTTTCATGTGCATAGCTTCTGTGATGTCACTCCTGCTAGGGCCAGCTTACCAGCCTACCAAGCAGGTGCTTGGGGCGGCCACTTCGGAGAGGGGCGTCACGTCCAGCTGTTTGGCGGCAATTCGGTGGACGGTCCCTCACTCCTGCTCAGAGCGAAGGACCTCCCGCCTAATTGCCGCTGCAGATCGCGATCACGGCTTTTTGTTTGTTTGTTTGGCTGCTTGGGGCTGCCAAAACCCTGGAGCTGACCCTGACTCCTGCTCATTCTCTAGTTATCCATATAATTACACGGGAAAGACTTAGTTGAATTTTTAAAAATAAAATAGATTGATATTCTTAAAGTTAAGGTCTTGTTTAAAGTTGGTAATTAGTGCTGGTCAGATAACCAGGGGAGAGGGGGTTGTTTTCTGTGGAAAACTTCAACATTTTGGCCAAAAAACTGAAAACTTTCAGTGGAAAACAGAAAATTTTGATTTGGTAATGTCACTACGGTACATCATAAGAGATGTAGTCTGTCTGGTAATTTGGCCCACAGGGAGTGGGGTGTTGAGGCACCTGGAGTACATCTCCATTGAGGCAATGTGGTGGCATTTCTGAATAAAATCCTGGCATTTTTCAACCAGAAACTTTATTGGTGTGGGGATTGTTTGGTAGTGAGGTTTTATTTGGGGTGGGTAGGAGGGTAGGGTTTTTGGTTTTTAACAGGAGGTCAGTCTGTTGAAAGTTATTGTGGGTTTTTTGTTTGATTTTTAGTAGAAAGATCAATTTTCTGTTGAAACAGTTTTGATGGAAAATTTTGACCAGCCCTAGTAATTAGGAAGTTAAATTAAAATAGAAAAAATATATCTGGTGCCTCTTTGTTTCTTGATGATGGAGATAAAGAAACAAAAAAGGGTAGAAGTTCTTTTTTTTCCAGATTACCCATAAAACTTCCTAATTACTGATTTTGATAGTCCACAAGCATCCAATACCATTAGACTAATGACTAAATAGGTAGTTTAAGTTTAATGAACAGTATTGACTGAAGTGGGAAAATAAGCATTTACAGAGTTATTAAATCAGTGATTCTTTACATGACAAAGCAGAATACCTCTTATGAAGATATCTGTTGTCAAGCCTGGTTTTACACTTGGGATCATTGACTTGATGGATCATAGTGTCTAACTTACAGCCTTTCTTAATATCTTGGGTGCTGTTAACTTGATACCAAAATGGTTCAAACTAGGCAAGCCTTACTCTAGATCTTTTGTTGGGCCAATAATTCGCGAAAGAATACTTCAAATTCACAGTAATTCCATGAAATGTCTTATTTAAAAAATATATATATATAAAAAACATTCATTCATATTCTATGGCTCAGTCACTTTCACATTGAAGGTGTCCTGCAAAGGACTTTTGAAAACAAACCTTATGGCTTTACACTTAAAACAAACCTTAACTAACAGATAACCTTGATTAAATCTCTTCTGCACTTTAAAGTATTTGTCTTAATTTTTAAATAAGACTTTTATATTTTTTTAGGGGCTGCTTTCTTACCTCATCACTGATAGGCACACTTGCGCTAAGCCTTACAATACCTCTGTCCATAATAGCTGACATGTGCATGCAGAAGGTAATGTACACTTGATTACTGATAAGATTTGGGCATTATTAACAGGTCTAAGTAGGTGTCTTTTAATGCAATGCCAGTGTTAAAGCTGAATGTACACAATGTACAGTATTTTCCTATTACTGTTAATTATCAAGATTGAATTGTCTGTCATCCTTGCTGTATGTATCTTAATCTTGTTTGTTACTGCATACTTAATTTGCCTTGCTGAAATACAACTTCAATGAAAAGTAATTTAAATCACCAAACTCTCTCACTTCAGTTCCCTTACCTGGTCTAATCATTTAACTAAACCTGTAGATCAGCATGTAACAACATCCTTAAACAGCAACTTAATAGTGTAAAATCCTTTCTGTGCCCTGTATATCTTGAAAATATTCAGTTAGTGATGTAAAAAACCTGTAGGTTAATGTCTGCAGAAGATGGACAATTTAAAGCTTAATCCTAGATTTTATGAATACGGTAAACATTAAATTAAATTTGTAAATGAAGAGGTCCCAATTAAAAAAACAAACACCTTATTTCCATGGGTATTGTGTCATATAAGTTAACTGTGAGAGAACACTTCATGTGATTAAAATAAATATCCAAAAATAGTGTGTTTAGAACAGAAATGAGCCACAATTTTTCATTTATATTCCCTCTCAAACTAAATTGTCTAAATTTTTGTTGAATATCCTATTACAATTAAATCATTTTTGTCATGATTTTCATATAAACTGGCTCTAGCTGGGGGTGCGGGTTTTGGGGTGGGGCTGAGGATGAGGGGTTGGGGGCACAGGAGAGTGCTCCGGGCTGGGACCAAGGGGCTCGGAGGGTAAGAGGGGGATCAGGGCTGGGGAAGGGGGTTAGGGTGCAGGAGGGGGTGAGGGTGAGCTTACCTCAAGCAGTTCCCAGAGGCAGTGGCATGTCACCCCTCTGGCTCCTACGCGGAGGGGCAGCCAGGCCACGGTTCCTGGACAATGGGAGCTGCGGGCGCAGCGTAAGGAGCCCCTTGGCTGCCCCTATGCATAGGAGCCGGAGGGCAGACATGCCACTGCTTCTGAGAGACCCTGACCCCACTCCCCAGCTGGGCAAGCCCTGGACCCCACTCGAGGACCAGATTGAAACGTCTGGAGGGCCGGATGCGGGCCCCAGACCGTAATCCCCCCCCCCCGCTCTATTCAGTTGAAACTGCACAAGGAATATAGGTAGGCACAGTCACCCAAATTGTACATTGGGCAGCTCTTTGAGGGTGTACTCAATATGATGTCACAATATATTTAGTTCCGGAAACCTGTGGATTTTAATATTCCAAATGTCCTGTATTAACTCAGTTTGCCAATTGCTGATCACTCCCACCACTCTCAGTGGAATGTATTTTCTTCTGAAGTGGGGTAGTTTGTAAAATCTCAAAAGGTCAAAGCTCAACCACAAACATGATAATAAAAGTACACTAACAATTCCTTATGTACCCCACAAGAAAAATTACTTGGATCGGTGTCTTGAGTGAACACACAGGTTTCAGGTAAAAATAACAGGAGTACTTGTGGCACCTTAGAGATTAACTTAGTTAGTCTCTTAGGCCTTGGCTACACTCGGGACTTCACAGCGCTGCCGTGAGTGTAGTTGCGCCACCAGCGCTGCAAGAGAGCTCTCGCAGCACTGTATGTACTGCACCTCTCCGAGGGGAATAGCTTGCAGCGCTGCAAGCGAGTGTGCAGCACTGCAGGCTCTGATTACCCTGGTGCTTTACAGCGCTGCACTCGCTGCGCTCAGGGGGGTGTTTTTCACACCCCTGAGCGCAGCAAGTTGCAGCGCTGTACACCGCCAGTCTAGCCAAGGCCTAAGGTGCCACAAGTACTCCTGTTCTTTTTGTGGATACAGACTAACACGGCTGCTATTCTGAAACAGGTTTCAGGTGTTACTTGTGGTGGTTCAGTTTACACCACATTTTTAGCCCAGGCATTATTTTAAAAAGTAATGCATTAGCTCATTAGATAACTTATTACAATAGCTCATTAAATTGCAGTTTTTTACATTCCTTTTGAGATATTCTTTTATTTGCTTGCAGAGGGTCTGTCCCCATTCTGATACTTAAATGTGGGGAGAATAAAGCTGATCACAAAATTTTCACAGGGATGAACAATTTTGATCTTTTTCTGTGTGTATTTTTTGTCCATATTTTTGTTTCATGTTGACTTAATGTCTCTTTGGGATTTTTTAATAAACTGAAAAGCTTTGTGTTTCTTTTTTTTGAACTTTAAGGTTTTCCCCACCATCTTCTCACTTTTCCCCTCTACTGGAAAAAAGGGGTAGGAGTGTGTTGGTGGAGCGTGAGCCAACTTTACCTGACTGTGTTTGAACACTTTTCCCACTCTTTCCAATTGGAAAACCAAGTGGAGTTGTGGTGAGAAGCAGGTGTCTTTTCCTGCTGAGACTTTAGAACTCTTTCCTCCTAATCCTGCCACAGCCATTGCTCTGTGTGAAGGGGGGTGACTCTCAACTCTGCTCTTTCTAAGCTCTTTGGCACTTAGAGGCCCAAGTGTCAAAAGTCTGGAAGATGTTCCCCTTCCCAAGAGCTGCATGTCACATGATATACATTCATTTAGTGACATAGAGAAGAATCTCCTCCTCAACAAGAGTGGACGTTATAAGGGCAACGTTAAACTCACCACGATCATGCAGCCAGATAAAAGCCCTGATTTAGAAAAGGAGCATTTACACTTGTCGCTAAGACCATCCCCATCTGAAATGTCACTATAGTCTTGGAAAACCATTCAGATGCACAAGGATATCAATGCGTTCCTCACAATGTGTGGACAACATGATTTGCATAATAAAACTTGAAAATATAGTCTGTTGTTTCAGTGACGTGTACCTCTGACCAACGTTCCTTGTAAACTGAATGCACATGAGGCTGTGTGTGTCACAAGTGATGCCACTCACAAATTCCTCTGTTCCTGGGGTGGGCATTGTGAGAGCTGAAGTGGTGACTAAGGGCTCCCCAGCTGTAGGGGGTGGAGGTGACAGTGGGACCCAAAGGGGCTGGAGCAGCTGCCATGGTACCCAGGAATGGACCAGGACTGGGAGCAGTTACCCTAGGCAAGAGAGATGCAAACCCCCTCTTCCCTGTCTGGAGCCAGCTGCCTCTACCGCTGTTCTGAGTCTCCCTAGCTCCTCTCGCTCCCCAGGGAGAGCACTCACTTCTCTCCCCCTCCTATCCCTGGCACTCTAACCCCCCACTCTGTCCCACTGCCCCACATCTCTCCTGTGCCTCACTGCCTCGGACACCCTCACTCCCCCTATCTCTGACTCCCTCATTTCCCTGGTCTTCATACAGAGCACTCACCCTGCCCCCCCCCCCCGCCCCCAACATGCTGACTTCCTTCCACTCCACAGGCAGAGCACTCCCTCCTGTGCCTGAAAGCATGAGAATAATCTTGCCCAAGGACAACAATGAACTTCTCAGTGAAGTTTGTTGTTTGCTCAGTACAAAGAAAACTTAGAGGAAACATTTCTACGGTCATGTGTCTCGTTAAAATGCAGGTCTTCCTCTAGCTTTGTTTATTGCCTTATTTTTATGCAATTACATGACATTTTTAATGGCTATTTCCCAAAATACAGTATCTTCTGGAAGCTGCTGAGCACTCTGAAGACTGGAATCAGTTTTTATTTTGTTGTTTTCCGTTATATTAGGCTGACTTTTCCCAAATCTTATTTTTTGGACATTGGGTTCAGCAACATCTGTATGTGTTGTGAAGTCTGTTGTAGTGACATTTTAGGTGGGCCAATGTTTTTGTGGTAGGTTATTTTAAAAAGGCCTTTCTTCATGTGAAATGCCAGTTGCCACAAGAAAGAAAATGACAAGCATTAAAATGTCTGAATTCAAACCTGAATAGTAGTAGTGGAAGCAGACATGAAGTAAATCCTTTCTATTTGGAAGAAAGTGAAAATGTTTTCAACTTTAGGGTGCAGCTTTAGGATGTTTTCAACTTTAAGTGTACAGAAACTCCAACTAAAATAAATTATTTCATGTGAATAAGCTAAAGCCTAGGCAAAACAAGCCTAATTGTCTTGGTCTTGAAACTTAAGCAATTCATATGAAGGACACAAACAAACATTGTACCAAGAATATAAAAGTAAATGAAAAGTTCTTCAGTAAATCAAAGTAACTCTTCTCCACAAAAACAAAAAGAATTTCAGTTCAGTGCATGTAGGCAGCTATATTTATATCTTTGAAGTGTAAAAGGCTCACAAGCTTTTTATTATTATTTTTCATATTCTGAGGCAATTTGTTTAAATTTAGTCGCGGCAATGGTTGAATGAACAGGAATCCTCTTTCGTAATTCCCAGAAAACTGGAACAGTTTCTTCTCTGAAGTATAAACCCAAATAGATTCTCAGCCCAGTCATTTAAATAAATAGAATTTATTCTGTATAAGCACAAAATACACAAAACCACTGCAGCATCTGAAATGGAAGAGACAGCATTAAAGCAATGTTGCATGACAGATGCGAGGCACACTAATGCAGTAGCAACAGATAGTTTCTTTTAACTTTCTAATTATTTTTATGGCACTCCTCACTTAATCTGAACACTTGAACTGAATCTGTTTGGCATTTATAATATTAATAAGCCCAAAACATTTAATAACAAATCTCATTTCTTTTACTCTCAGCTCACTTGCTCTTTCTTCTTTTCCTTATCTTAATAAATCTTTTTCTACCTCTGCTTTCTCCGTCTTTCTGCTGGCAACATCTGTCTTAATCCTAGTCCTTTGCACATATCCACTCCTTTCCTCCCTACCTTCCCTAACCTTTCCATCCTTCAGGCACAACACCCTCTGACCTTTTTCTTGCTCTTCTTTTCCTGCTCCTTGTGGATTTTCCTGTTGCTTTTATTTCTGACTATTCTCTCTTCACCCTCACTGAAAACTGCTGCTGCCTCTGGAGTCTGCCTTTGGATACCCTTTTATTAGCGATCTGTTGCCTCCTTCACCTCCCCATAGACATTGCCACCAAGAAAGGTGGTAATGGTGTACGGGTCTTTCCCTCTTCTGTCTTACTTCCTTTTCAGCTTCAAATTGCACACTTTCTAGTTCATTTTCTCCTCACGTGGCTGTCATCTACCATCCAGGTTTCTGTCTGCCTGTCTGACCTTGTCTGCCTGTCTCTTTCTCACACCTAATTAACATCATCCTGATTTGACCTAGGCAGGCTATGTCTGTCTTTGGTTTTAACTTGTGGCTAGATGAGTGCTGAATTCTTCCCTTCCTTACCCTTCAGTGCCTTCTATAATTGAGCTGTTCTGGATAGAACTAGCTCAAGGGAGCATTCCCTCTGAAACTGGGTCTTCAGGTTGGCTGTGTTCCCTGGGAGGCATAAGATTTGCCTCTCTCCTAAACACAGAAGCTCTGAGGAAAAGGGAAAAAAAGGGGAAAAGTACTAACATATAAAACACTTGCATGCTTTAGACATTACAAGTCAAACTTGTTGCAGCTATTAATAATACTAGTTATTATAAAGCACTTTTCATCCATAGAGCTCAACATGCTTTACAAAGGAAGTTGGTATCATAATCCCCATTTAACAGATGGAGAAACTGAGGCACGGAGAGTGAATTGACTTGCACAAGGTCAACCAGCAAATTAGTGGCAGTGCCAGAAATTGAACCCAGGTCCTCTTAGTCCTAGTCCAGTGGCCTATTCACCAGGTCACGCTGTCCCCCATGTTTTTAATGTACCTTTTAAGCTCGTTTATTTCAATTATTTGAAGCTAGTCTCAGTTAGAAATTAATGTGGACACTAATCAATTCTAATAACTGCAGATATAGATTCCTAAGAATGAGGTGGTGTCCATACTCTGTCATTAAAACCCCAAGATTTCTTATCACTGTATAAGACTTTATTTTTTTCCACAAGGGGGAGCCTCGTCTATAGTTAATCAGCTTTTTCCAGCTAAAAAGAAGCTTTAAAGGGAGTAGTTCTGCTTTTTATTTTATTTTTCTTAAAAGGAACAGACCTTGTAATTTCTGTTTTGAAGCTTTACATATGTAATAGACATTCCAGATGCTCAGGCTAACTATTACTACCCTGGAGTCAGGTAAAACCTTGTTCATCTAATTTATGTCTCACTTTCAAAACAGGTGAGCAAATAACTTAATAAAACGTGCTGTATTTCCCCCACACACACACTCAGGAAGAACAAATTCTTGTTACTTCGAAAATTATTAGTTTCTCATATGCTTTATCTGGCAGACAAAAATCAGAATTTCTTTGCTAGGACCACTTCCAAGGATTTTTCTCTTCAGTTGTTGTTGTTTGTTTGTTTTTATTTCTTTAATGCACACATCTCTGTCTCTTTAAATGGGCATTTGGGGGCACAAATTGCCCTGAAATATTTGTTTTTTTTTCCAGCTAAACTGTTGGTCAGAAATTCAAATCTAGGTGGAGTAGGTACACCTCTACCTCGATATAATGCTGTCCTCGGGAGCCAAAAAATCTTACTGCGTTGTAGGTGAAACTGCGTTATATCGAACTTGGTTTGATCCTCCAGAGTGCGCAGCCCTTCCCCTTCCCCCCCCCTCCCCGGAGCACTGCTGTACCGTGCTATATCCGAATTCGTGGTCTATCAGGTCGCGTTATGTCAAGGTAGAGGTGTATGTTGTTTTGTGACGTTTCACTTGGGTTGTCCATACAGTTGTTTCAGGGCTTGGAAAATTCAGTTGCCCGCTCATCTTTGGCAATTAAACTTTCACGAATTAGTGCCTCAATCTTGTACAGGTTGGTGGAGAAACAAAGAGAGTGCTTCCATTTTTTCAGCATCCAGACGTAATTTAGGAGAGGGGAGATGCACACCTATTTTCCAGAGACTGATATGGAAGATGGAGTCCCCAAAAGAGGGCAGTACCCTAGTATGAATCCCAGCACATTTCTTTCCATGCCTGCGAGGAGTGTTGGCTTCTCACCTGAATGTGGATCCATATCAGCTTTTAGCTAGAAGATGTAGTTCTCTTGATATTCTGTACCTAGTAGAGTTTCTAAGGTCCATGAGTGAATGAGTAAGGGTGAGATCATTTGAGAAACTAGAAAAGAGAACCATGTTACCAGGAGAAGAAGGGGAGGAAAAATGTAGGTGGAGAACCCAATGTAAGGAGGTAAGGAAAAAAGGGAATTGAACACAGTGGGTGACTGAGGACATGAACCAAGAGATCTTATAGAAAATGTTAAAATGCAAAAATTGTAACATTGGTCAGCATTCAAAGGAACTGAGACCCAACATGGTTTACAAATAGATTTTATTTTTTTCTCCAAGTGGAAATGTCTTACACATATGCTGACACTATTGTAGCAACATAGGAGCTAATAAATTACTAATGTAGTTGTCTTTACAATCTCGATGCAAGTTAGACACTTTTAACAATAACAATAGTAGACACTTCTCAATTTTATGGCAGTTGTCACAAATGAAAAAAATCAAATGTTAAAAGAAACTACTATTGTGCTTTGTTGGATAAATTATATTCATGCTCTAATTCCAGGTGCAGTTTTCCTGGTTATTTTTTGCAGGGGCAATCCCTGTATTTTTCTCATTTTTCATTGCAACTTTCTTATGCCATTATAACAACTGGGATCCAGTGATGGTAGGAATCAGAAGAATTTTTGCCTTTATCTGCAGAAAGCATCGAATTCAGAGGTATGATCACCTATTGTAACTTCCCTAACTTTTCATTCCACCTTCCCTATGTATCCTACCTCTTTCAGAAGCCTCAGAACTCTCACCCTGGGTTTTTTGCCCCCTCCCCTTCTTCCCCTCCTTTAAGAGGACCTCGTTGACTGTTTGATTAGTTACCAGTGTAATTCTTTATCTCCGTTCTTTCCCCTAATATCCAGTGAGGGCAGAGACAAAATTATAAAAATCCCTGTGACACGGTTGTCTGTCCTTTAAGGACCAGAGGTCTGGGTCCTGCCAACCCTATTCATTAATCAGGTGCAGCTGAAGGGCGGACATGTGTTCCGTATAAAGAGCTGGTCTGTCAGGAAGGAAAGATCGGCAGAGGCTGCAGGGAGTCCATTAAAGGGGGGGCAGTGGGGAAAAAGAGCTTCCTGGGAGAAGCCCTGGGAAGAGGAACAAGGAGGAATCCTGCAACAGGCCTTGAAACAGGATGGAACGAGAGAGGCAAAGGGGAAAATCCCCTAGTACTTGTAGCCCAGTGGGGGTGGAAGAACTGTTGTTTGTTTGTTTGTTTTTTGTGTTCTGTTTTTTTATCTATGTTTGGAAAATAAAACTGTACCTGGAAAGAGATTTTGGGTATGGCAGTGGAGTTTTCATGGGCTGGGGACAAGCCACCATCTTAAAATCCCATTGTACTAAAAGAAATTTTTCTGCAGTGAATATTCTTTACAGTTTTGCTTTTGCCTAATTATTGTTACCATAGTATTTGCTATATTTCTGAGGCACCAAATGGCTATCTATAGATCTTAATTATGACCACTCTAGTACAGTATATGTAATCCACCGAAGTATTTAGTTTTTTTAATGACCACAACTCAAGATAATACGTAACTCTTCTATAGCATTACCATCCTTACTATTCATGTCTCCCTGTCACAATATAACCAGTTTAAGATTTTTCTATAATTACAAAATGAATTTGATATCTCTTTAAGAATGCCAGAGGAAAGTGAGCAGTGTGAAAGCCTCATCCCTATGCATAGTGTTTCTCAAGAAGGCGAAAACTGCTGTTCATAGGCAATAGGTATGTTTAACAAGTAAACTTCAAAAGGTATAGTGAATATGTTCAAACTCTTAAGTCAATTTTTTCCTCTTGAGGTTGTTAGCACCTTACAATGGACTTGCTAATTATTCCATTAGCTTCAGTAGTTTTACCTGTTTTATTAACTCTCATTTGCATGAATTAAAGAAGGAGCTCATGTATGTTACCAGTCTGTCAAACAGTCATGGAAATTAACCTGTGCAGGCACAAAATTTACTCACTCGCTCTTTATCATGATTGATACTCTTCCTTGAAATAAATAAATAAAGCTGCTCTCCCTGACAAGTGAGTATGTAGAATTTTGCAAATTTCTAATATAACTAGAAATGCAAGATTTAGAAAAATGTGGTCATTTTTTTCCATATTCTAATAATTCCTGTTTGGCCTCAAAATAAAATGTATCCCAGCTGTACAATATATTTGCAATCTATTTTTCACCATTCTGCAAGCACAATTTCAAATACGTTTAATACTATGACTGGAAAAGGTATAGAAAATGGGAACTATAGGATCAAAATCAATACAATTCATCCCTAATGCAAAGCATTAATAATTCTGTTTTCATTTTTTTCAGTTTCAAGATGGTTTCATACTCAGCGAAGAGACAATCTCCTGGGAAGTCCATAAGGAACCATATTTCAGTGCCTATTCTACATTTGGGAAAAAAAGTTTCAATTCTTTTGAAACTAAACTTTTATTTTCCTATAATTGCCTGTCTTCATCTAACTCTATCAACGAACAACTTCACTATGTGCATATCACTACAACTATAGGAAATCCCAGTCCATCTAAACAACCAACCTGCCTTATAGAACTCAACTTGAAATTACTTGATATAATCAAGAAAGCAAATGCTGGTCTGGTGATTTATTTTTTGTTTTCACATTTTTGATAAATGCTGGACAACAAGTTGTTCAAAAATTACTTTAAAAATGAATACGTTAATAAGTCTGCAGGTCGTCATTTCTTACAGGCTCAGATGAAAAAAGCTAAATATGTAGCTTACTTGTAATAGGTACGGATTAACATTTTTGTATAAAGTCTATTTGAATATTAACACATGAAATTAGAAAAAATATCTTAATTTATTAAATAAGTACATTTTTGCAACTGTTAGAGCAGGATGTATGCAAGTTTCTGGAACATTACGTATATTGCTTTATCCCATTTTAAAAATCCTTGTAATAGGAAAGGGTGCTTTGTGTTTAAAAATCTGCTATGACCGAACAATCTGAAACTTTTAAAGACGTGTTAGTATAAAAAGGTTATGTATTTTTAAAGGTGGTAGTTACCATAAATTTGGCTGGACAAGCACTTGATGTAAAAGTTCATAATTCGGAATCAGTCTCTTTTTGAAAACTTAATAGTCAAAATTATTTAATATGTAAAATTGTAAATAATTCCAAAATGCCATGTGCATAGCTGCTTATTTGAGGGGAAAAAACATCAAGTAGACTTCTAAATTTTGTAGTTACTCTCTTAATCTCAACTCAAATCTTCCAAGCAATTTTAAAGCTAGAGATAATCATGTTGACTTCGTTTTCCTAATGAAATTATTGTGTAATGGCTAACTTTCACTGTGACCTGAGTTTTCTTCCCTACTGCAATGCTGCTGTTCTGTTTGGTGCTGAAAGGTAACGAATTAATAAATATATTCACAAGAATCCTGAAGACAGTCATTGCCCTCTTCAAAAAGTAAAATTTGGTAACTTTGGCCAAGGGGTATTTACTAATTTATTTTGTCTTTTAGTGAATTGTCATGCTTATAAAGAGTACAGATGGACTTTCAGTCAAGGTGACTAATCCTCCAGATAACTACAAAACCTACACTGACAGTGCAAGCTTTCTCATGCTGCTCTGCCATTTTGTCTCAACCCTGTTCTGGAGGAACTGAGGTTTTTGTAGGGATAAATGTCCATTCAGTCTTTGATCTCTATATTACTCCCACCAATAAGGATACTAATTGTGGAAATGGTGGTGGTGATTTGGTGATGTAAAGAAAAAAACTAGTCTAACTGGACTGCATTAAGACCATAGACTTGGAAAAATGTTTAGAAGGATTAGTTTTTAATTTATTCAACCCCAAAATCAATAGCTGTAGGGAGAAGACCATTGTTAATTGAAATGTATAGGGTAAGTTAAAACATAGGCTATTACACTTGCAGGCAGATATTTATTTCTTTGTTCATTTTTATCAAATACAAATATTTTTCTGAATTTTATATCAACGGTTGGTCACTAAACTATGAACAAAACTTATCTGAGGCCAACCTTTTTCAAAGTAGGAACATGAAGATAGGACCTGAGGTTGGGATTTTCAAAAGATTTACAAGCACAGTCCCATTTGAAGTCACTTAGGCTACATCTACACTACAGGGGGGAGTCGATTTAAGATACGCAAATTCAGCCACGTGAATAGCGTAGCTGAATTCGACGTATCGCAGCCGACTTACCCCGCTGTGAGGACGGCGGCAAAATCGACTTCTGCGGCTTTCTGTCGACGGCGCTTACTCCCACCTCCCCTGGTGGAGTAAGAGCGTCGATTCGGGGATCGATTGTCGCGTCCCGATGGGACGCGATAAATTGATCCCCGAGAGGTCGATTTCTACCGCCGATTCAGGCAGGTAGTGTAGACCTAGCCTTAGATACTTTCAAAAATTCCATTTTTTGGTCCCAATATTTAGTCACCTATCCTTTATACTCCTACTTTTGAACACTTAAGCCAGAGTTCCTGATCTCTTGCAGAAATGGAGGTCAATAAAAATTGGAAAGAAATACTGATGATGTACATCAAACTGAATAAAAAATAACCTTCAGTTCTACTGAACTGGATTAGTTTTAAACAGTGCACCTAAAAGTGAATGTCTCTGTCTGTCAGTTACTCAAGTACCCATGAGAAGACAGGAACTTTAAATGCCGCAGTTGAACTATTTTTATATTTGATCTTGGTTAGAATTTTGGCTGTTTGGCAAGAGGAGAATTTTCCTGATAAGGTTAAAAATGGAAGCAAGATAACTCCAGAGAATTTAAGCGGAATCCTTACTAAGAAAAGCCATTAATTAAGGTATAGTGGCAATGGAATGCAAATAGTTGTTCCCTTAAATAATGATTACATCTTCAGTTAATATTTGGCTTCTGTCAAGTTTTCCTAGTTAATGCTCAACACTAAATCATGTCCTCTATAGCAGCGAGAAGGATAAGGATTGTGGCATCTGCAGAGATAAGCCAGGCAAGGCTAATTTTGCTTTCCAACAGGTGTGTTGCTCTGTTTTCAGAAGAAAACTACGGTTCACTTTTGAAATCAATTGCCCATGACCCATAGTTGTTCTGGGCTGTGACGTATAACTGTGAACCAGAATCCTTATTTAACATAACAAAACATGACAAAGATGTGGAATCTATCATCAAATCCTTGGTTAGTTTATAGAGTTTTACATAGCAGTTTTAAATTGTGTAGAGAAATACATTGTGCTGGAAAAAATGAACAGTAATACATAAGAGAAAATCTTCTCTCTCTGCCTCCTAAGAACATTCAAATAACGTTATATGTTTAAACAATTCAGATGCTGGGACTTCCTCACTAATTTTTCCAAGAAAAGAAAAAAAAATGTTTTGAGAAATCAGATTTGTTTAGTATCATGATATAAAGTGTTACATACCATAAATGACTTCAGCAGTCTTTTTATTAAAGTGTAGCATTCTGGGGAGTGGAATGTAAAATACAAAACAAATTATCTCCCTGAAAGGCCTTAGATTTTTAAACAATTGTGCCCCAGTATTACAAGAGATGTATGTATTACAGTATTAATTACTAAAGTTATATATTGTGTTACATTGTGCCTGCATTTAATAGGAGGTAATGAGATTTTCTATACCAACTTGTGATTTTTAGTATAAGAACATCTTTTATAAGTAACTGTCTTTTTTGTTAGATAAGTGATTCATGGAGCTTTCTATAATGGTTGCTTGGTAAAGGCACAAGAGATTTAGCTTTTGAATCTCAGGTATCTGTGCAATAGTGGCGACATGTTGAATATAATACTCTTGGTTTGTTTTTGTTTTTTTTAACATGACATGGCATGCAACTGGAATCCGTTTCTTGTTACAGTAATGTGAAGAAGCTATCTCTCCTGGTAGAATTCTCTTTACCAATATGGACTACCATAACTTGTTTTTTTACTGTTTAATTGGAATGTCTTGATTTTGATTTATTTCCTGTAGGAAGTGTATACACTTAAAAAAATCTTCTCATATTTTAAATTAATCATACTTTGAATGTTGTTGCATATTTAAAGAGCAGTGATTTCCCACATATGCCTACATTATTGAAAAACAATGCCATATATATAGTGCTGTCCAAAAATTAACTCATTTATCGCAGCATCCTTATGAGGCAGCTAAATAATTATCTTCATTTTTACATATGGAGAAACTGATACAGAGCAAAGTTAAGTGATTTTTCTGACTGCCCCAAAATAAGTCTTGGAACTCAAGAGTTGAATGAGAGTAACAATTAGTCTGCACTATACTGTGCAGTCCAGTAGAGGGTAAATAAGGGTTTAGTTCTCCTGGCTACATTCAGCTGGATCTGTTAATTACACAAAACTGCATTAACCCTTTTACTGCTAGTGGCTGCTGCAAACTTTAGCCTAACTCCAGAAAAGCACTTAAGCACTTACGTAACCGCTAGCACTTGAGTAAACCCATGATAGTTACACACAGATTTAGGTGCTTTACTGAACTGGGGCCTTCAGCAGTATTTTCCTTTGAAATACTAAATGCCCTTCAAAGGACAGTTAAAACCAGGGTATTGCATATGGTACATGACATACTGTGTGTGCTGTTATGTGCATCACATACCTATTACACAGCAGACGAGAAGTTTAAAATAGTAAGAGCCTGAAAACTGAGTTTCCTTGCCTTATGCAATTGCCATTCTTCCTGTTTAATTATCCCCACTGTGCCTAGGTACTGCTGTTTACTGTTGTGATTGGTTTCTGTTGTGAGTTTATGCAGACAAATGGCCTCAGTGAATAATTATTTTTGTTAGGCTCTTAAAGTTTCATTTAGATGTAATGAAGTAGTGACTATTTGAAAATGCCCTTTAAAAAATGCACAGTAGGGGGAAAAAAACATCCTGGATCTTATGTAGCTACACACCTGAGCAGGCTGTAAGCATAGGTGGCAAGTTTATATGGGCCTGTGTTGCCTATGCTCCGCTCCACCAATATTCAGGAACATGGGCCCAGCTCCACCAATGTTTGGGCTTATATTTTCAGAACCGTCCTGTCCATAGGATGGACAGGGGCCCCGTGCTTCGGAGGGACATGGAGTCCAGGGCAGCCTGAGAGATTAGCAGGGAGCCTGGAGCTGGCAGCAGTGAGTGACCAGGGCCCCAGCCTGTCCTGCTCCGCTCTGCCCCGCCTCTTCCCACCCCTGCTCCACTCCACCCCACCCCTTCCCCCAAGCTCCTACCATGCCTCTTCCCGCCCCTGCTCTGTCCCCGCCTCTGCTCCGCCCTCTGCTTGGACCCGTTCTGGGCACCACCAAAAATTATGCAAACCTGGCACCCATGGCTGTAAGTGCATGGCATGCATCTGTGCACATCTGATAAGTGTACAGTTTTCATTAACAAGCATTGCTGGTCACAGACCGACTAGTGTCTCTTAACTAGTGATCTGGAAACTTTTCTGTTTTCTGAATTTAACACGAAGAAGACAAGCAAATGCAGTGCAGTTTCACCCCCTCATCATTAACGCAATGCTAGTACTGAGAAATAAGCTACACAAAAATCAGAAAATAGCCGAAGTTAAGGTTTCTTTTGCACAACTGAGTTATATGACCATATTGTGGTCCTATTACTTTTTATCTCCTTTCCAGTGTAATTTCTTACTATATTATCAGTTCTGTTAAGTACTGCATAACTGTATATATAGTCTGTGCAACTTGATAAGAGTTATTGATGCAGTGAAAACCTTACCTTTTGATATTTCTTTGGGAGGTTTTTTGCCTGTTTGTTGTATTTTGTTGTTGGTTTTGGTTTGTTTTTTCCAACATTGTGTTGCAATAACACTAGTTCTTTGCACTTTATATAATATCCTAGCATGATTTCTCAGGGAAATATGATGATCTTAAACAGCTTGTATCCAAGGAGGTCATTTGAAAATGAAGCAGCAGCCCTTTGTAGGTTTTATTTGAACATTGAATATAGTTTTAATATTTTGTTTCCTCTGACTTAGCTCCCTCATCCTGGTTCTTTGGATAAGGATGATATTAAAAGTATACTTTCCCATTGCTCTGATTTTTCAGAAATATAATTCTGTTAAACTTGCCCAGTTTTTCCTACATAGTTGTACTGTGCATCATCTTTACTGTATGAAATTGCATTGAAGTTAATAGGACTCTTGCTCTGTTGATTTCAAAGCTGGTCCTCTATCCATGGTAGTATGGTGATGCCTATGCTAGGCATTCAGGGTTAAACAGCTCTGCTCTATCACATATCTAGTTGAGGTTTGTACTCTGATTTCAGCACATAGTATAACAGTGTTACCATGAATATGTTCCCTACATTCAGTGGGGTTTTGGGGGTTGGACTAGATGATCTCCTGAGGTCCCTTCCAACCTTGATATTCTATGAAAGTAAAGTACAGTCAGGTTGTCCTTC